GGCACAGCACGGCTGCTCAGAGAGGTGGAAAATCCTGAGGCCCCTCCAGCACTGTTTCAAGAAAAATGCTCAGAGTGGTGTGGAGAGGGGCCAGCTGGTGATGTCAAGGGGTTTATAAAAGAGATTACAAGGCCTTTTAAGGGAGCGAAGCCGTTGCTAATGATGGAAACTGCGAAAGCTGGGTCTGGATAAGGCCCGCATGTTTAATTTCCTAGTTATTCTGCAATGCCTGTGATTAAAAAAAACTTATAGGACCACTCCCTTTGTGTGCCATTCAAAAGGCAGTATTAGAGCAGCGAGAAGAACCCGTTATGCTTATGGAAGTCGGGAGTAGCTGAAAGAATTCTCAGACACAGAAAGTCCAAAGTGGGGACCTGGACCTGGGAGGGAGAACCAAATGCCCAAAAGGGCCTGGTTGCTCTGACCATCCGTATTTTTTTTTACTTCTTGCTTTTTTAAAGCACACGTGTGTGTGTGTGTGTGTGTGTGTGTGTTGCGGGGCGGTATCTAGAGAGAGTTTTGTTTTATTTTATTTAAGTTTATTCATTTCTTCTATGAGCATGCAAAAGAGGGAGGGAGACAATACCCCCAACAGGGCCCCAGTGCCTCGACCCACTCTCCAGAGCTCAACCAGTCCCCGGTCACGGACATATGGGTGTGCAGGACACTCAGGGAGTCTCTGGACCTGAACCAGGAGTGGTGCCTTGTGGGATTGCCTCTCAGAGTGTCACTTTAAAAAAAAATGATCAGGACCAGCAGTTAGTGTAATGGCTATAATGCTGGACTCCCATGTAGTTTGACTGTGGTTTGAGTCCTGGACCCGGTGGCTTAAACTCACGCCAGGAGCATGTGCGTGCGTGCCCAAGATCCTGAAAGGAGAAAGGAGGAGAAGGGATTGCGGCATGGACACCCTATAGCAAAAACCTCTCCAAAAAAAAAAAAAAAACCTAATTGATCATTAGCATTACTTTTCCAAATTTGCCACAGGGCACGTGTGCTCGAGGGAGAGAGAGAGAGAGAGACAGAGAGAGAGAAAGCTGACAGGTTTGAGACTCGAACCACAGTTAGCTATGTGGGAGTCCAGCACCTTAACTATTATGCCATCTGCTGGCCCCCAGAGTGTCTTTCTTTTTCCTTTTTCTGAGAGGATTTTGCTACAGGGCATGCGCACTCGCCAGACAGACAGAGAGAGACAGAGACAGAAAGCAAGAAATCACCCCCCAGGGGGGATGGTCACGCTGTAGTCCCTTCTCCTTCACTCTCCTCTTGGGATCCTGGGCACGCACGCACACGCGCCCGGCGTGAGTTTCAAGCCGCCGGGTCCGGGACTCAAACTGCGGCTGACTACGTGGGAGTCCAGTGACATAGCCATTATGCTAACTGCTGGTCCGCAGAGTGTCATGCTTTATCATCATGCTACCAGCTGGCTCCAGAAGCTTTGAATTGGGGCCAGCAGGTGGTGTAGTGGTTACAGTGCTGGATTTCCACATGACTGATTGCAGTTTGAGTCCTGGATCTAGTGGCCTGAAACTCATGCGGGGTGGGTGTGTGCAGAATGAATGGAGAATGGAGGAGAAGGGACTGAGGTATGGCCATTCCCCAAGCCCCTGGGGATTTCTCTCTGTCCCTCTTTCTGTCTCTGGTGAGCTCAGACATCCTATAGCAAAAATCTCTCCCTAAATAAAACAAAAAAGGCTTTGTACCTCCAGGGACCAGCAGGTGGGGCGGTGGTTAAGGCACTGGACTCCCATGTGGTCGACCGCAGTTTGAATCCCAGACCTCGCAGCTTACTCTCTCTCCCTGTGTTGTCTCTTTCTGATGAGCACATGTGCCCTATAGCAAATTAACATAATAACAACATTAAATTAGTTCTTTAAAAAATAAAATCTTTGCACCTCCAGAGAGATCCAGAAATAGAACATTAATTTCTATTGCATTTCCAAGGGTTTCTATAGTCTTTTATAAAAAAGAATTATTTTATTTAACTTCACTCATTTATTTACTTATTTTTTAAATTTGACCAGAGAGGGACAGAAAAAGAGAGAGAGAGAGAGAAAGTAAGAAAGGTCCAGGACTCAAACTGAGGTCGGGGGCTTGAACTGAGGTCAGCCATGTGGGAGTCCAGCGGCCCTAACTACCATGCCACCAGCTGGTCCCTCTATAGTTTTTTACAACCCTGTGTCATCTTAAGAATGTGGGTTTTACAAAGAGCAACCAAGATCAGTTACCATGACACAGGATAGAGTAAGTCAAAGAAGCCCCGACTTTCTCCACTTAACAGCTGGGCTTACTCTGTGTTTTAAATAGATAACTAGTGAGAACAGCCCAGATTTAGGAACAGTGCTCCAACTCTGGAGGGGTAAAAGTGGAGGCTTTCAAACAGGGTCTCAGTAGAGGAGCTAAACAGAAGAAAATTCTCCATCCAGATCTCTTTATTATGGAGGACTAAAACACATGATCAAAGAAACCAAACGAAGAACCATATAACTAATACCCATTTGTCACCTAGTCAGAGGGCCCACGCTACCGTGGAACAGAGGCAGGAACGGAAGCTCGTTCAGGAGAGCAGGGGTGACTTGGAAGCCACATGCTGAGGTCCGAGTGGCTGCTGTCTTTAGCAGAGTCCACCCGTGGCACAAGGACCCTCAACTCTCTACAGCCAATCAGCCCCTAGAGTGCCAGACAACTGTCACCTGTAGCTTAGATTAAAAGGTCAAGAACAGGGGCCAGAAGATGGCGAGGTGGTTAAGGCACTGGACTCCCACAGGGTTGACTATGGTTTGAGTCCTGGACCTGGAGGCTTGAAAATCATGCATGCATGCCCCAAATCCCGGCAGTAGAATAGAGAAGGGACTGTGGTGTGGCCATCCCCCCAGGGGGTAATTTCTCACTTTCTTTCTCTCTCTGGTGTGTGCATGTGCACGATGGCAAAAACAAACAAACAAACAAACAAATCTAAGAACATATGTTGTTTTTCTCTTTTGGTACTTTTATTTATTTGCGGGGGGTGGGGAGAGTTAGGCAATGGTTATTATTTTTGGTGTCCACTTAACTAGATCAAGGAATACCTAGGACCTGGTGCAGTATTATTCTGGGGGTGTTCATGGGGCTGTTTTTAGAGGAGATTAATACGGGAATCCGAGTAGACTAGGTAAGGGAGATCGATGCTTGGTGAAAACGGGACCATCTAACCAACAAGGGGCCAGCAGAGTGCACACAGGAGCCGCAGGAGTCTCCTCTGAGACAGCAGGACAGATTTCCCCAGCCTCGGGCGTCAGAACTCAAGGCTCGCTCGTCTGACTGCAGATTCCAGGACACACAGCAGAGCCCCTCTCCTCCCACTCAGTTCTCCGGCTTTAAGCTCTGGACAGAGTTCCAGGGCCACTCCTGCCTCTGAGGCTGAGTGTGGGCGCCGCTCCTGCCTCTGAGGCTGAGTATGGGCTGAGTCACGTTCCCAGCGTCCCAGCATCTCCAGCTTACGGGGGCCCGCTGTAGGGCTTGCCAGCAGCCGTACCCTCGCAAGTCAATTCCCTGTGAAGCCCCCTCTCGTATACCCATACGCCCCCTGGTTCTGTCTCCCTGGAGAGCCCTCATTCAGGGGGTCATCTTTCTGAATGAGCACCCTGGGTCTCCTCTCAGCCCCAGACTTTCCCAGGACTAGCAGTCTTCTTAGCCAGGTGTTGAGCTCTCCAGGCTGTCTCGGTCTCTGCAGCCAGCCTCATCACCTCCGCTGTCCAGAGAAACTCTCCATCCCAGAGCTTATCTTCTCTCCAGTCCCCGAGCATGTAGATTAATGTCTTTACTGACCCTGCATCTCCATGTCTGCCCTCCCCCAGCTGTGTTCTTTATCAAAGTCTGTTCCCTTTTTAAAGCCCATCTTGAGCCTGACCTCCTCCTTGAAGCCTTTCCTGACCAGGCTGGGACGGGTGGGAGCAGGGGTAGGGAGGATAATGTTTCTCTTTCTCTTCCTTCTATGTCACTCAGAAAATGGGTGCCTCTTATTTTAATTCTTTTAAAAGAATTATTTATTAAATTTTGTTTGTTGTTATTATTATTTTAAAGTTTGCTATAGGGCACATGTGCTCACCAGAGAGAGAGACAAAGAGAGAGAGCGAGCAGGGAAGTGAGAGAGCAAGCCACCGGGTCTAGGACTTGAATGGTGGTCGGCCATGTGGGACTCCAGTGCCTCAACCATCATGCCACCAGCTGGACTTTCAGTTTAATTTTTTCAAAAAGCACCTTTATTTATTTCTCCCATGAGGAAGAGACAGACAGACACGCATACACTCCCACACACAGGGGCTGGATGCTACAACTCACCCTTATATACTTGAAGACTCATCTTAAACTCACTTCCCTGTTAAACAGTCAGCGGGCCTGACCTATGCCTCTGGAAGAACTAGTCTCCTGCCCTCGCATCCCTATTATGCCTACTGTCTACTTACGGTATGATAATTCTTCGCTGCCAAAAGACTTGCGAAGCACATGGCCCTTGCAGAATGGAGAAGTGGAGAAAGAATGAGTGCAGTGTGACCATGCCCCACGGGGCGTGCTTTCTGCCTCTCTCTCTCGCCACTGCATGCACCCTCGGGCAACAATATATATATTAATAAAAAGTGTCTCATTATGGGTCTATACCTCCCTTAAGTCCCCGGCCACCCCTGGGAAACAATTATAGCAAGAATACTTGTTAAATATGATTCCGTTTATTGCCTTTGACCGAAAGGCTTTTTGACCAAAAGCTGTTGAATTAATAAATATTTCTTGCCTGGAATATTAAGCAGGGCTAAAAAGCACAGTAATTAACTTTAACATGAAAAAGAATCTTCTGAATTAGGAAAGCAGGGAATGGTTACAACATCCAGATGAGATGATTGGACAAATCTATATGAGAAAGGGGACAGAAACCTGCCAGAAACCTGACCTTCTTCCTTCAATTCAACGTTTTTCCGATATGGCTAAAAAAAACCCCACAGGTGTCTAAAGAGAAGGATGGCTGGTAGGCAGCTGGAGAGCTCTGACGGTGGCCATAACCTTTCATTGCATTTGCTCCTCGTCCTTCAGGGCTAGGGCGGCGTGGAGAAAGAGGAAGGGACGCTGGCTGATGCTTCCCATGCAGCCTGTCCTCACTCCTTCTCTGGTTTTGTCCACACCAGCAAGCTGTTGACGAAAGCGTGGAACGCAACAGGCACTCCTACCTGGAAATGGATTTGAAAGAGTTTTTCATTCATAAGAACAACATGCATTCTTTTGTAGCAAGAAAGACTTACCTTTAAAACCAAAATAAATGATTCAGTAGGAAACGTGTCTTGCTCTTGGTTTAGGAGTGGGTGGAGTCAGCTTCGATTAAGGGGCAAAAATATGTAGGTCAGGATCACAATTGTGGCACCTGTTCGGGGAAACAGTTCAAACGATTGCTTTATTGTTCATGTCGTAAGACATCACAATAAATTAAACTGGGAATAGAGATCAGCAGTGACAACAGATGCTTTTTTTTTTTCTCAAACAGAAATCACTTAATAGGTTTTCTGCCATTGCTTTAATTGGGCTAGTGAGGGTTAGGGGTGGAGCAGTAAGGCAACTGGAGACATATGGAAAGGTCCTGGGTTTGCATCCTGGGACCTCCCTCTATGCGCTGGGTGTGTGTGCCTATGATCTGGGCTGGCTGGGGTGGATTACAGCATGAAGACCGTGTAGACGATGTCTGTCTCTTTTTCTTTTGCTCTCTCACATGGAGGAATAGAACCAATTTTAAAATGGGCTGACGATTTCCAACTCTCTATGACCCAGAGAAACACTGCCAAGTGAAAGTGGTACCTTGAAAAAATAATTTGAGCTTTTGGAAGCTAAGTGTAATCCAATGATAGGAATTCACCGTGTTGTTAAGGTTTAATATCATTTATACAGAGGTCTGGGGACTTCTGCCCGCCTGTGTATCTGAGCACTGTCGGCCAGGCTGGCATTCTCTTCATTCTCTGTGAGCTGCACTCCTGCAAGGATTCCTAAGACTTACTGCCTTATGACCTACATGCATTGTTTCCCCTCTCAACCTCAGTTTCCTCATCAGTAAAATGGGGATGATGACTGTACTTAACACGTATGGTCAAGCGAAACAAAGCAAACTCAGCATGGCAAAGCAGGTATTTAGATTGAAAGCAAATGGATTTTCTCACTTCCAAGTAGGTGCTAAAAGCAAAGTTGGTGTCACCTCATTTATAACCCATCATTTTGTGACAGAGGGACTACTGAGTTAGGCGTCCTAGTCCTAGTCCACAGTTAGGACTAGGTGAGTTATTAATCTCCCTGGGTTTAGAGTTTGTCTTCATATATCTAAGGAACTGGATTAGATGATCTCAAAAGTAACATCCAGGTCTGAAGTTCTATGATTTAGGAATTTTTTTTAACAATTAATTTGTAATCAAAGGTAACATACAAAGTATTATATTGGGGCCAGCAAGTGGCATGGTGGTTAAGAAACTGGACTCCCATGTGGTTGAGTGAGGTTCAAGTCCTGGACCTGGTGGCTTGAGAGTCAGGCTGGGTGCATGTGTGTGAGTGCCCAGAATCCCTAGAGGAGACAGAGGAGGGGATTATGGTGGGGCCATTCCTCCTGTGTGTGTGGGGGGGGAAGTGACTCCTCATTGTCTCTCTCTCCGTGTCTCTCTCTGGTGAGCACATGTGCTCTATAGCAAAAACTAACCAAATGAAATAAATTTTTTTAAAAGAAAGTATTCTCTGAGTATCCAAGTTATATTTTAATGAAGTGTACTTTAATTGAAATTCGTATTATGCAATGTTTAACACACGAAAGGGTATAGAAAGTAATGCCTGTACCTGTGATTCATTGTAAAAAATGAAATTTGCTCCTTTTATGGATTTGGGAATGGCGTAGGTGAAATTCAGCTGTATTTAAAGGTGTAAAAACAAGATTGAAATCACTGGTTAAAAAGAAGGAAGTTCCTCTGGATGCCATTGTTCCTGGAAGAAGGGTGTTTCGTGCCTGCGTGGCTCTGATGTTAGACCAGGCGGAGACCAAAGCTGAGGACAGGCTCTCCTTTTTGGAATATTTCATCCGACTGAAATGGAATGAATACGCTCACAACACACACCTACATAATACATGGTATTAATGAATTAGTGAACCTGACGTGCATCTCATTTGCAATAAGAAGCTTGCCACGGCGATCCAGGCATGCTGAACAAGACTTCTCCACTCAGAATCGACCTGGCTCCTTTCCTCTCTAAACGTGTAACCTGGAGCAAACTAAGGAGACCTTTGGGCTTCAGTGTTCAGGAAAAATGAGACTAACCTGACGACTACTGTATATATATATATATATTTTTTTTTTTTTTTTGAGAGGTTTTCACTATAGGGCGCGTGTGCTCGCCAGACGGACAGAGAGGGACAGAGAGACAGAAAGTGAGAAATCACCCGCCCCAGGGGAGATGGCCATGCCGCAATCCCTTCTCCTCCATTCTCCTCTCGGGATCTTGGGCACGCACGCACACACGCCCGGCGTGAGTTTAAGCCACTGGGTCCGGGACGCGAACTGTGGTCGACTATGTGGGAGTCCAGCGACATAGCCATTGCGCTAACTTCTGGTCCCGATCACAGCTACTGTATTAAATGAGGTAATTACACATAAGTCTCTAAGAATGCTGTCTGACACACAGAGAAAGCTAATGAATATTAGCTATCATCATTATTATTCAGTTCCATATATAATTATTGGATGTCTGCTATGTAGTAGTCTCCGTACAAGACCCCGAAATGCCTCTGGGGCTTCAGCCTTTTTGTTTGTGTGTTGTCTTCAAACAGAATTATAGACTTACAGATGAAATTCTGGGGGTCCAGCAGGTGGTATAGTGGTTAAGGCGCTGGACTCCTATATGGCTGACCGTGGTTCAAGTCCCGGATCTAGCTGGGTGAGTGTGCATGCATGCCCCAAATCTCAGGAGAATGGATTGCAGCATGGCCATCACCCCGGGAGAGGGGGCGTGATGTCTCACTTTCTCTCTCACTGTCTCTCTGTCTCTTCAACAAGAGCACACACCCTACGGCAAAAACCTAAAACAAAACACAACAAAAAATGAAATTCTGGTAAATTCATCAGTGTAGTGACACCCAAGTTAATCTACAAAAAAGGCCCCTTAGAGTCAGAGGATGTTTCGCGTTGGGGAGAAAATATGAAATGTAAATGAAGCAGTTACTTCAAGTCTTGCCTTTACCGAGTCCCTGCGCCAGGTTTTAAAGAGTGCATTTGTGATGCATATTAAAACCATAGTGACATTCAAAGAGTCAAACAGGCCTGATTAGACTTTCATGTCTTGTATTTATAAAAAGGTTAGTGGTGCATTTCTTCAGTGTAAATTATTTTTGGTTCCTACAAATATTTATGAATACAATAAAGTCTATACGGGATAATATATGTGATTAATTTGTATCCATCATCGGCTTGCTTTTATTTAAGGAATTATCCCAGAGATACAACATCTTGACCAATAATTTCAGCAGGTCGGGCGTAGACAATATTTAGAAAAGGGTAATTGGACTCCAACGCTCTGGGACAGAATGAGAAATACAATCATGGCAATCATGTATTCTGCTGTATAAATTTATCACGGAAACAGGCTAGGAACACACACCCTTTGTAAGCACTTTCAATGCGATGTCCTTTGGTATCAAGCCTTGACTCTATAACAAGCAATCAGTGATGTTTGGGCTGCAAGTTGCCTTGGGTGGATTAAGAAAGGATTGGGACCAGCAGATGGCATAATGGTTACATCGCTGGACTCCCACATGGTTGACCACAGTTTGAGTCCTGGACCTGGCGCCTTGAAACTCATGCCCGGCCTGTGTGCATACATGCCCAAAACCCTGACAGGAGAAGGGATTTCCACATGGCCATCTTCCGGGAGGGTGATTTCTCCGTTTCTGTCTCTGGTGCACATGGGCTCTATAGCAAAAATCTCCCTTAAAAAAAAGAAAAAAGGAAGGATTAAAGTTATGAATCCAACAGAGGAGCTGACCATGTGGTCTAATTGATGTCAGGTTTGACTGTTCTGGGCATTGGCTAGTTTGGTTGCTTTTGGAGACTTTGGGGGTAATATCAAGTCATGGAAGTCACAGTTATCGTGCAACTCTACCTATAATGTTTTTTTAAGAATTATTTCATTTGACTTTATTCATTTATTTATTTATTTAATTTTTTTTCTTTAGAAGTTTTTGCTATAGGGCGCGTGCGCTCACCAGACAGACAGAGACAGACAGAGAGACAGAAAGTGAGAAATCACCCCCCAGGGGGGATGGTCACGCTGCAATCCCTTCTCCTCCATTCTCCTCTCGGCATCTTGGGCACGCACGCACACGTGCCTGGCGTGAGTTTTAAGTCACCGGGTCCGGGACGCGAACTGCTGTCGACTATGTGGGAGTCCAGCGACATAGCCATTACGCTAACTGCTGGTCCCAACTTTATTTATTTTTAATTTGCCTAGAGAAAGAGAGGGAGAGAGGGAGAGGGAGAGAGGGAGAGGGAGGGAGGGAGGGAAGGAGGGAAGGAGGTTGGGAGGGAGGCAGGAAAAGAGAGAGAGAAAGCCACTTGGTCCAGGACTCAAACCAAAGTCCGCCATGTGGGAGTCCAGTGCCCCTTTGCCACCATGCCACCTGCTGGCCCCCTATACTGAATCTTTGGTCATCAACTTCTCCTGCCCCTTCACTTGCACATACATGTTGCACTGTTAAAGAGATGAACTGTATCAGGGGCCAGCAGGTGGCAGGGTGGTTGAGGCCCTGGATTCTCACATGACTGACCCCAAGTTTGAGTCCCAGTCCTGGTGCCTTGCTTTCTCACTTTGTCTCTCCCTCTCTCTCATGAGTGCATGTGCCCTATAGCAAATTAAAATAATAATAAAGAAATAACTCCTTTTAAAGAAAGAAAGACATGTACTGTCTACAGCCCTTCCAGACCCAATCTCTTCCAAGTTAGAAACAATCAGATACCTTTTCTCAAAAACATTCGATGTAAAGAAGTGACCAGTCATCTTAAAAACAGGCAAACCGAACTGAAGCATTTACTAAGACGGGAACAAAAACATGCCAGGCAGGAAGAACCTGGAAGTTCATTTTATTATAGGAGTCGTTTCTTTAAGAACATAAACGCGTTCTGGGCCCTCATTCCAGGCACTCCTTTCCTGCATACTCCACTTCCACATGGGTGACAGCTTTTTAATACTGGAAGCCTCCCCAAAAGCAATTCCCCTCCCCATCGCACAACTCAGGAATCCCTGCTCAAGGGAACAAAAAGTGCCCGAGACACTCCCCACTACCCCCTCAGTGTGGACAGACTTGATTCCCAGGGGAAAGGGGGTTCTTGGACCTAATAGGGCGAAACTTGGGCCATCGCGGTAAAACAGAAAAACAAACGCTAAACGCCGCCCCTCCCCCGCCAAAAACAAAAACATAAACAAAAAGCAGCCCGGGCGCTGCCACTGCGGCCGCTAAGGACGCGCGGCCCGGCACGGGCGGAGCTGGGTCCCCGAGAGCCCGCGGG